TACTTACAAGGTACCTATTACTTTTTATATTATTTGCAACGTTTGAAATTGATTAAAAAATGATTTGTAATGTTTGTATAAAAATGTACTTTTGTGTCTCCCTGTTTACGCTAGTCCGTCAAACGTACAACCTCGTCAAAAATGGTATAATTTTTACTTCTTACACAATACTTGACAATACACTATTGTTCGGAAATAGTCTTAAGTCGAGAATGAAATTAGTATTATCTATTGTCAAAGTATAAAATACTCACACTCTGAGAGTACTGCAGAGTACTGCTGGTCGAAATGTCGGTAGAAATTTGGAAAGAACTAGAAAATAAATTGATGAAGGCAGTAGTTATCTTGATCAATATACAGCTGTTTCAAAAAGATATACAACAGCATATTTTCTGACAACGATTTGAAGATATAGTCTAAAATCAAAAGAACTTTTTTCTGCACTAGAGGTTGCGAATGAAAAGTGAAAAGTATTCGAACAGCGTTTTTTGTCACTTGTACATAAATTTCAAAATAAATCCAAGCCCTTTCGAAGTGTAATGAATTCACACGAAATTACTTCAAAAATCGGTCCAACATTTTAATTGATGAATAGATATGTAGTAGATATATGTTATTTTTTATATAGTTTTATAACATTTACAGTTATTTTTCGATTTATAGTAAAGTTTTCAAAAAGTTGATTTTTTTATTTAAATCACTTGATTAAAATTAAAAAAATCACTTGATTTAATCAAGTGATTATTCAATTTAATCAAGTGATATTCAATCCGTTTGCCAAAAATTATCGCAACATCGCCATATTTTGAAAGAGAAAGCGGTAGTAATGGCCCTTTATGTCCCTTTTTGTTGATGTAAAGAATAACTGTTTATAATTTATTTTTATTTCCTAAAATATTTTGATTAAAAGAAAATATATAAAAGTGGGCAACTCTGTACCGGTCAAACTCAATCACGTGACTAAAAGTTTATTTGGCATGAACAGTATTATGCCATTTAATTTCGAACGAAAAAAAAAACGGCCTCAAAGACGGCTGGGGAATAACAACCGATGATAATTTTGGCAAGGTCAAGCCCTAGACGTCATTTAGGCCCGTACACTTCTTTATTTTTTAATGATGCGTAGTGCCAGTTGCCCTTAAGAAGGTTTTAATTTATTTTTATATTTTTAAAATTCTTAAAATCTTAAAAAACGAGCTTTCCATTTTATTTTATATTTTCCTGGTGCCAATTTTGGATCACCCTGTACAGGGTGGCTCGAATTCGACGCTCATCATCAGGATTTCGGAAACCATAGAGATACAGGATCGGTTAAATGGAGGCAAAGTTGCGCAATTTGATGTTCAATAAAATGCCGTACCTATTGCATTTTTATTTTTTATTTTTTTTGCATAAAATATTCTGGTGATGGAATTTTCTGTACGAAACGTCGGCAAATATCAAAGTGACTATATATATAGTGTTTTAAGAGTGATGAAAGGATTTAATTAAATTGAAAAAAAATCAGGTCCGTATTTAAAAAAATCAAGTTGATAATGGTCGCCAGAAGCCGAAACGTCAGAGTCAATAAATATTTAATCACACAGAGTTTAGTTCAGAAAAAGTGGCCATAAAAATGTGTTTTTCATTTTAAGTTATTTTAACAAATAAAGCCAGGAAACAATAGAAAACAAAATTGAAAATCCCGTTGTTTTTTCGAATATATTTGGAAGTATTCGGAATTTTTCAAAATGCAATACGGCATTTTATTTGAGCATCAAATTGTGCAACTTTGCCTCCATTTAACCGATCCTGTATCTCTTACGGTTTCAAAAATCTCAATGATGAGCGTCGAATTCGAGCCACCCTGTACACACCTGATATAATTATTTATTTAAGTAGATGTTTCTTTTTTAAACTTCAAGTTTTATCAATATACTGTCGGAGTATCCTGTAATAGATCAATTCCAAATAAATAAAATTAATAAGCAACTTCCTAGACATCGTTTTTATTGAGATCACTTAATATAAGTTTATTAAATGATCCATAATTATTATTAATAAGTACGATTTTGTTTTATTCTTTTCTGAATATCAATTGAAATTATCTTCTCTCGGAAGTTTATATCGATTAAAATATGTTATTTCTTGTAAATTCAGAATAAATTATTTCGTTAAATAAATAATAATAAAAATGTATTAACGTAGCAAATAATTATAAGTATCAGATAAAGTTAAAAATACTCTGTATAAAAGATATTAGCAGAAACTTAAATAAAACTACTAAATCAAGAAGGAATGAATACACACATACTCTTATGTATTTTGCATGCATCCAAGTAACAAGGCTGCTTATAGTAAGAGGAATATTTTACAGAGAACAAGAACATTACTGTGTGTGTTTTTCCTGGTCTTCTTTATTTGCAATGAGTAAAAAAGAAGTACGAAGAGTCGTGGTGAAACATGGGCGTTCTATGTAGGATAATGGACCATTAAAGTGATGCTTCGAGTCTTCGAGAGGATGTATTGTTTTAAAGAAGATGTAGGTACGTGTGTATTTTAAGAAGAACGTATAAATATGGTTGTAGGTACTTCTGTAATACCGTAATAAATAAGACTAAAATACAGAAAAGTTTATATTATTTATCATCGCAAATTCAAATGATTATTTCTTTTTGATGCTATCTCAGTAGTAGTACCGAGACTAGTACCACAGATTAGGTATCCTATAGGTATACAGATAAAAATCTTGCCCCTAATTCGTGGTACGAAAATTGTTTTTTATGACGATGAGCAAACGAGTAAATGTGCTAGTAGGTACTAATTGACAGTTCAGTTCAGGTTCAGGCACGCTTATAGTTTATTGTAATAATTGATGTCTACTACAAATCAGTGACATATGACATACTAGAAACTAGATATTATAGAATAGAAATTCAGCGGAAAAGAATGAAAAATAGCATATTTATATCTAAAAGGTATTGAGATATATTTATAGAAAATACTTGAATAATATGTAAGCGAAAATATAGAGAACAAATGCAACAACTCTCACATCGAATCCTAGATCATTCTGCAAATAAAAACAAATTATTTACTTCACAGTGTGAGTCTATAAGTGCAAATATCTAGTAGATTTCTATAAAATAAATATTATTTTCCTTTGCTGTTTTTTATATAATTTCAAAATAAGTGTTTTACTTTAAAAGTAAAAAAATGATTGTTTTCTTAAATTTTGAGAACCACTCGATTTTTTTATTTTTCTATATTTAATCTGCTGCTTAGATTTTGTAGTCTTTAATTAAATATTTAAAAATTTGATAATTTTTTTTTGAAAAATACAAAATTTTTATCATTTTTTAGCCGACCATACCAACAGAAACTAGAAAAACAAAAATACTGTGGCACCCGAGAATCTGGCCATTAGTTATTGGTGGGGGTTGGGGGGTTGGTAAGGCGGTATGGGAGCCGCCTTACCAACCCCCCAACCCCCACCAATAACTAATGGCCAGATTCTCGGGTGCCACAGTATTTTTGTTTTTCTAGTTTCTGTTGGTATGGTCGGCTAAAAAATGATAAAAATTTTGTATTTTTCAAAAAAAAATTATCAAATTTTTAAATATTTAATTAAAGACTACAAAATCTAAGCAGCAGATTAAGGTGGGGGATTAATTAGGGGTTAAAAATTTTAAAAAATCGTAACTCCAAAATGATAGTAGCTAGCGAAACGCGGTTTTCAATTTAAGATTAGGAATAATATTTGCAACAAAATTTGTAATAACAAGAAAATCAGTCAAAGTTGCAGTTTTTGAGATAAAAAAAAATTGGAAAAATTCATTTACTTTGAAACTAAAAGAACTGATGCCTACCAACTTTTTATTAACATATTTTAGTATGGGCGGTATACCTACGTGCCTCCCGGCGCCAATTTTTTTATGTAATATATTTAGCTCACTAGATTTGTCAATAAAAAATTTACTTTCCAAAATTTGCCGCTTATTTAAAGCTCTCTCAAAATTCTGAAATCGAAAATCGACTTTTCTAAATTCAGCCTGCTAAAATTTGTAATGTTGTTTTCTTATATACAGGGTGTATCAAAACTAATTCTTGTATTTTTCTTCGCTATTTCAAACGCAACACCCTGTATTTTGTATCACAAAAGAACGAAACCTTTTGTTTATTTTTTTTGATTTATTAAGCATTTCCTGTGGTTCAAATCGATATTAACCAAAAAATTAAAAACTTGTCTTACACTCTTTTCTAATAGTAGACGTATTGTCACTAAAATTGAGACTTAGTTGAAGGCGTTTTACTTAATGTCTCAAATAATTTTTCACTTTGCAATTTAGATTTTCCTTTTTTGATTTAATGTTTTGTATTTATGCCATATTCAAAATGTTAAAGTAGACGGTAATTACAATTAATTACTTAATTTAATTAGAATTGATAGAATTGCATGACTATATCAAATTTTATTTATTTTGAATGTGAATCAGAAAAAAATCACGCAAAAATTTAGAGAAACCCAGGATTTTCTTTAATATTCAGTTAAGGTACTTTTAAAAAATTATTTTTTTAATCCATAAGCATTCAAAACGTTTCAAATTATTTTATATAAAAACTTTACCCCCCGTAAATATAAAAAAATATATAAAAACCAGCAGGACATTACATTCAAAGTTACTACCCTATTCTACACTTAAGGCACACCAAAAATCAAAATATAGCTACAAAAAATATACAACTTAACTCTGATCAAAAAATTGTGCGAATATACAGGGTGAGTCTTAAATAAGTGCAAATATTTTCAGGGCTGGTAGATCTCGATAAAAGAAACATATTTTCTCTTTATCGTTTTTCACATAAATCCGAGATATAACCGAGTTCATCATGATATTAAAGAATATATCAAAGAATATTCTTCAATATTCAGTTAAAAAATATTACTTAAGAAATTATTACATTCAGAACTTTTTTAGAACATTCAGTACAAATTTGATTTTATCTTATAAATACTTTACCTCCAAAAATATATTAAAAACACTAACCAAAAAAACAGCAGAACACTACATTCAACGTCACTACCGTATTTTACACTTGACGCGCACCAAAAATCAAATAAAATATATAAAAAATTTGATTAACCAAAAAACAGTGCGGGCACGTAAAATTTTTTTTCACGATCTATTCCCGTAAATCCCTAAACCAGTGGCGGCGAAGCGCGTTCTTGCCGTGGCGGCCGGTATCGAACTGAATCGGATCATCGGATCTCATTGTGCCGGGCGGTACTGTGTCCCTGCAGCCGAAGCAGCGCAGCATCGCGGTCCATTCATCCAAGCAGGGATGTCCGGTATCGCGTGCCGCTGGACCGTGTTGCAGGAATCACCTCCATATCTGCAAATTCGAATTAAAGAAGTTGATTTTATTTAGGGTTCAGTACCGGGAAGCATTTTTACGGATCCTATGTCGTTTTAGAACCGAGGTTCTAGTTTCGCATAGGAAATTATGCAGTTTCCGATATTACAAACAGTATGCGGTTTTGGCATTACTCATACGAATCAGTCAAAAGTCAAAATATGTACAGGGTGTCCCATTTTGGTTGAAATCATACGGTATCTCCGTTATTCGTGAAGATAGAAGGGTGCCGTTTGCACAAACCTATGCCACTTTTTTGTCAAACGGAAGATACCGTAAACAAAATTTTCATAGCCCCCTTCGTTTCTGAGCTACAGGGTCTTTTTGAAAATTTTGCAGTTTAGGACACCCCCTGTATATCTGTTATTGTTAAAGGTATTGAGACGGTGAAAACTGTTTATTGTAGAACTTTTTACGTAGAATACAGTGGCATAGTCTGTTATTCTATGAAAAAAAATATTTTTAAAGATATGAACTAAAGTTATGTTTTCTTAAATGAAACACCCTGTATATTTATAAATTATATGACCTGGATTGCCATAAGCTTCTCAAAAATATATATAGGATCCTATATCTCCTACGCGAAGCAAAGGGCTTCAGTGAAAGCTCTCCATCGGGTTTTGTTTTTGGCAGTTGTTTTTGCTTCCTTCCATGTTGACCCTACTTGTTGATACTCATCCAGTATGGAACGTTTCCATGTTTGAGCAGGTCGTCCTTGCTTTCTTTTTCCTTGGGGATTCCACTCCAACGCTGATCTCGCTATATTACTATCAGGTTTCCGCAAAGTGTGACCTATCCAACCCCATTTTCTTTTGCGGATTTCAATGCCTACTTCTTGTTGGTTTGTAAGATGAAGCAGGTCGGTGTTACGTATAGTGTCTAGCCAAAAGATTTTAAGTATATTCCGCAAGCAGCGATTGATAAACACCTGTGGACGGTTGATGGATATTTTTGTAAGTAAACTCTGTTACATTCTCGACATGTTTGATTCCTACATTGAATGGAGTGTTGTTGTTTGTATTAATGCGCATTGACTTTGTTTTGTCGATGTTTATGCTTAATCCTACTTTGTCTGCTTCTGTTTTTAGACGTCTGAGCATCATTTCCATGTCTTTGAAGGATTGCGTTGTGAGACAGATATCATCAGCATAATCAAGATCCGTCAGATGCGATGTCAGAGTCCATTGTACTCCCCTAATGTTTGCTGGGGCTTTAGTCAAAACGCTGTCGAGCACGATATTAAATAGAAGCGGCGATAATGTGCAACCCTGCTTTACTCCTGTCTCTAAGTTAAAACTGTCGCTGGTTCTACCGTTGTGCAGCACATTGCATTCTGTGTTTCTGTAGAGTTCCTTGATTATATTAATTAGTTTCCCCGAACACCTTTTTCTTTTAGGGTTTTCCATACCATCGCATGGGGGATACTGTCAAAAGCTTTGACGAAATCTATGAATAATAAGAATAAAGGTGACCTAAATTCTATTGACTGCTCTATGATAATGCGCAATGTGTTAATATGGTCAATGCACGAGTGGTTCGATCGGAAACCAGCTTGGTTCTCTCTCGGAGTAGGCTCTATATAGGAGTTTAACCTTAAATGAACTATAGAGGATATTATCTTGTGAATGGTGTTTAACAAAACAATACCTCTCCAGTTGTCACAGTTAGTGGTATCTCCTTTTTTAGGGAGTTTAATAATGAGACCCTGTTTCCATTCATCTGGGATGATGTTAGATACCCAAGCTCGTGTAATTAGAGGATGCAGTATGTCTGCTGCTGTGCTAGGATCTGCTTTGAGGAGGTCTGCAGGGACGCTATCGGGGCCGGCTGCTTTATGTTCTTAAGTGTTTTAATAGCCTTTTGTATTTCTGTTTTCGTTGGCGTGTCGCAGTTGATAGGCATTTCGATTGTTGGCTTCGGTTCCTCGTTGTCGAAATTTTGTTCACTTATTGGTCCAAGCAGGTTGCTGAAGTGTTCTTTCCATCTGTTAAGCTGTTCTTCAGAGGATGTTAGTGGTCTGCCGTCTTTGCTTTTAATAACTGTATTGAAGTTACTACGTTGTCCACTCAGGTGTTTTGTTATTTTGTACAGTTCCCTCATATTGCGTTGTTCTGTGGCTTTTTGTGCCTCGTTTGCTAGTTGTTCATGCCAAGCTTGTTTGTCCTTTCTGGCTGATCTCTTAACTGCTCTATACGATACTTGATATTGTTGTTGTAAAGTAGTTTTGGTCTCGTGAGTTGAAGTTGTATTTATTCTTTGTTTTATCTGAGCTCTTTGTTCTATTAAGTTTTTTACTTTTTTACTTTGTTCTCTTAAGTCGTCGCTAAGCCATTCTTTGCTTTTTATGCGTTTTGTGCCTAATGTCGCTTCAGCAACGGTTTTAAACAAGTCTGCTGCCTCGTTCCACGAAGCTACGTTAGTATTCTCCCTTTGTTGTTTGAGCTTGTTCTTAAATTTCTGGAGTTCGTTAGGTTTTCTAAGCTGTTCGATGTTATATTTCGGTCTTTTGGCAAAATTTTTATCTATCTTTTTTAAAAGTTTAATTCTCAGTTGACCCACCACTAGAAAATGATCGCTTGCAATGTCTGCCCCGCGTCTGCTTCTGACATCCAGTAATGAGCTCCTCCATCTTTTTGAGATCAGTATATGGTCTATCTGATTTTCTGTTCGCATGTCTGGGGAAACCCAGGTTACTTTGTGAGCAGTTTTATGCGGGAAGTTTAAAAAAATATATAACACTCTATAACAACTATATTTATTTTCACTATTTAATGCAATATTTAAAGAAATATATTAGAAAATCATATTTATTAGCAGGCCATGATTGATAATAAAAGAAACTAAAGAATTATTAAAAGTATAGTGTTATCTGTCTCTTGTTTTATTTTGAGAACCACTAATTAATTCTTTTATATATTAGGGAAACTTAACTCTCTATCGCTATTTGTAAATCTTGGAGGCTATAGTATCGGAACTTCTAAATATTCCTTTTGTTTATTTACGTCAAATATACTTTCAGCCAAGATGGGGCTCCTCCTCACAACTTAACTTACAACAAAAATATTAGAATTTTGTTAAATTATTATTTCTCAAACCAATGAATTGGAACCAATGTACCCATATGATGGCCTCCCTGATTCCCGAATTTCTCCGTTCTCGATTTCTGATTTTGGAGATTTTTGAAATATGAAATATATCGTGGCAACTATAACAATGTCGAACACCGGGAAAATGCTTTAATAATGTAAGGTTTTAGATAGTTGCAAACCCATCCCATTATAATAAATTCCGTTATAAAGAAGAGAAAAATATATTCAGTAAGTAAGTACCATTTTGATTTTTTCTTATTTTTATCACGGTCTACTAATAAGAAAATGATATATTTTAAATATTGCAGTAAATAATGAAAATAAATATAGAGTGATATATATTTTTGAGAAGCTTATGGCAAGACAGATCATATGATTCATAAATATACGGGGTGTTCCATTTGAAAAACATAACTTTAGTTCATATTTTCAAAAATATTTTTTTTGTAGTAAAACAGACTGCGCCAATGTATTCTACGTAAAAAGTTCTACAAGAATCAGTTTTTACCTTCTCGATAGCATCCATAATAGCGGAGATACAGGGACTGTCCCAAATTTTCAAAAAGACCCTGTAGCTCAGAAACGAAGAGGGCTATGAAAATTTTGTATACGGCATCTTCCGTTTGACAAAAAAGTGGCACAGGTTTGTGCAAACCGTACCCTTCTGTCTTCACGAATGACGGAGATACCCTATGATTTCAACTAAAATGGGACACCCTGTACACCATAGACTTAAAATATTTTATTTTAAGTCTATGGCGCACACAGATTTAAAATAATCTTAGATATATTTAATGATTTAATATGATATTGATATTAGGTGATTTAAAGCTAACTGTGTTGATCAGAAAAAGATCTTAGGTGTGTAACTTTTTACTCTGATTAATAATATTTGTAACCTTTAATGTACGGATAATAATTAATGTAGGACGTAAATGTAAATATTACTATTTTAGCTTTTGAAAAATGATGTAAGAGTAGATATCAGGGTGTCCCATAATTAATGGTGCACAATAAAACTGCAGATTCATTGGGTCAAAATATTAAAATTTAAGCAAACTTACCTTAGTACAAAAGTTTTATTTTTATTTTTGTTTTTTTTTCTGTTTAACTTTCTAAATAATTTTTATTTGTTGATGAAATTTTGTACAAGGGGGTTCTTTGATATAAAAAATTCAAATTTTATCTTATCTTAATGTAACTCTTATCTTAATGTAACTCTTATCTTAACGTAACTCTTATTATTGATTTCTATCATTCAAACACTTCTAAATTTTTTGTAGTGCCCTGTATAATATTTTTACTGAAAAAAATTAATTTATTAATAATTTTTACGTAAAAAAGGTATACTTGTTAAAATTCGCCACGTGCAACCGTTTTCGAAATATTTGGATTTGAAATAATCGATGCATGCAATTTTCAATGGTAAAATGATATGCTTTTTTCCAAAATCTAAATTTTAAGGAATATTGTTCAAAAAATGTATTTTATGGTTGGTTCTAAAGTTAATCGTGCTATTTTTATTATTCTCTATGGATATTTTAAAAAGTATATTTTTTAAATTTCAATTTGGAAGAAAGTATAATATTTTACATTTTACCATTGAAAATTGCAATTGATTATTTCATATCCAAATATGTCGAAAACGCTACAAGCGTTCAAACCTAGCGACTTTTAACAAGTGTACCTTTTTTAGGTAAAAATGTTTAAAAAATGAATTTTTTTCACTAAAAATATTATACAGTGCACTACAAAAATGTTAGAAGTGTTTTAATGATAGGAACCATATGTAGGTGGCGCCCCCTACAAATAAGAGTTAAATTAAGATAAAATTTAAATTTCTTATATAAAAAACCCCCTCGTACAAAATTTCATCCAAAAATCAAAATTATTAGCAAAGTTTGGTTAAATCCTAATATTTTAACCCAACGAATATGCAATTTTGTTGTGCACCATTAATTATGGGACACCCTATATAAATATACTGTATTGTTTTTGAAGCTTTTCTCTGATTTTTTACATCGGATATGGAATATTTCAAGTTCATGTAAAATAATAATAATAAATATCACGCACTAAATCTACTTTAAACTCACACTCTCACTATCTTGTTTAATGTCCTTTAGAATTGGGAAAAAATAAAAGTTTCTTAACACCTTGTATATTAATACAGGGTGTTTCATTTAAAAAATACACCTTGTATATTAATACAGGGTGTTTCATTTAAAAAATACAACTTTGTTATTTTTTATTTATTTGGTACACTGTATCTTCGTTTAGCTAAAATTCTTCGTGTCGTATGTGGTGAACAACCCTGTATAAGTTATTAATTAGTCTAGTAGTTGTTGAATAAAATGTGTTAAGGAACAATGACAATATTGTACTTTTAAGCTGCTTGTGCAATACAACTGTTGATAAAAAATATATCAAATTAATTAGGTTATGTTATCAATCGTTCTCGCAGCTATATGGGTGGGATTAAATCAATACAATTAATATAGGTTTCAAAGAAATAAATTATATTTGTTCAAAATATCCTTTCATTAATTTACTGGTATCATAAAAGATTTCTTTTTCTTAATAGTACATTCACACTAAAGTGTTAAGGTCGATTTCCATATAACGTCTTACCTGTTGGAGGAAATCATTCAAGAATCATGGGAATAGAAAGAAGTAGCTAAAATTGTCAATAAAGTGTGTGGTGACAACTATGAATTTCTAAAAAATCTGCCATGAGTTTTGATCGCGTTTAAATCATCAGTTTTATGAATGGGAGCTCCTTTAAGGTTCATTTAACAACCTTTTTGCTATTTTTAAACTATTTTTTAAACTTATTTTTTATACTACCTATACAGGGTGTCTCATTTTCGTGTGTTTTACAGGGTATCTCGCTTACGGGTAGAGATACAAAGATGCGGTTTTCACATCACTGTGCTACTTTTGTATGAAAGTAAAGATGCTACACACAGATTTGTCCTAGCCCTCTTAGTTCCTGAAATACAGGGCCAAATTTAAAATGTTGCATTTTTCGACCCCCTTCATATCTCGGTTATTTTATAACTAATCGAAAAGGTGAAAACTGAGCCCAAGAGACATTTTCACGTAGAATCCAGTGGCCTAACTAGTTTTTCGTTAGAAGCTGTCATTCTCGAAATATGTCCTGTAAAACACACGAAAATGGGATACCCTGTACACGCTCCTTTCACCAGTAAAAGAATTATTAACCTTTTTTTCATTTTAGCATAAAATTTTCACAATACAAGCATTTTGGACAGCATCCCCCCATCAGCTAATCTGTCTTTTATACATATTATTATGTATGGGAATAAGCATTATTATCTGTCAAAAATATTGTCTAAAAATATCGTTTATATAAATTCCAGGATCAGACACACATTAATAATCATTATTGCAAATTTAAGTTGAATGGGACTGCTAATATGTTTACGTCCAAGTTCGATTGCCAAACAATGAAAAATTGCACTTACAGCAACGAGGACGAGCATTCATATTAATTGAAAATAATGAGACTGTTGACTTCTCATTTTTGTTTATTAAGAACATTTAAATTTCCACGATTTTGTTTATGTTATAGCCAATTTAGAAATAAATAATTAATGGAATATATTAAACGATTTATTAACTAATACATTTAAATGCAAAAAAAAACGCAACGGAGAAATTTTTGGTCAAGTTTAAAGTGTTATATTTTTGTTATATTTAGTCCTATTTTCATGAACTCTTTAGCAAGCTGTTTATAATTATATCCACTTTAATTCGTAAAGTCACCTTTTTATAAACTTTAGTTTTTGGCATATTATGCTGGGTTAATCGAGGGGTTGTTTTTTACCTTTTAATTTCCTCTGTAAATTTTTCTAAAATATAATTTTACGGTCAGAACCATGAATCCTGAGCATTTTGTTTTTTCATTCATGTCAATACATGTTTTGGTTAATATTTAAGAGCGAAATGAACTAATAACGATCAATTTGCAATTTACAATCATTTTTTTTAATTATCATTACTTTTTGAGGTAATTTTTTAATATGACGAGAGGGTTTTGGTGACTATTGTCATAACGACATATTACACTGCATTGGATACTCTATACTAGATTTAAAAAAAAACGTTTAAGACTAATGATACAGTCGTGGTTTTAATAAACATTAATAACGATAACAGAACTAACGATATTAAAGAATACATCTGTAATACTCAAGTATCCAAGCGGAAAAAAATTGTAAAAATACCCTAATACTAGGTATTGCCGCCCTTGAGAACTTGTTCAGACTGACATTGAGGCTGTAATATATCATATTGGCGTTATGTTTTCCCATTCTTCTTTAAGGACCAAGTAAAGTTCAGTTAATGAAGTACTGTTGATGAGGGTACTACTTCGCGACCACCAACCCTCCTGCCAAGCAGGGTCTATTCTTCATCTGGTCGGACCCTAAGGCACAAGCAAAAATTCGGGCTCTTTTTCCAATAAAATTCAAAAATTCAAGAAATTAAGTTGAATTCAAGAAATTACGTTGTAAAAATGGATATTTTACAATCTTTAATGCCCCCCCCCCCCAGACCACC